AATATGATCACCAGATTTCGCTATCAGCTTCTCGTGCCGCCCAGGAATCACGTCAACTTATTTCATCAGGAATTCTTTTGGTATGGAAGACATGACTTCTTATATTCGTCCATCAAGTTCTTCCAAAGTCTTGGTTTGTTGTAATAGATTTACTCCTTTGCCTAACCCCAAAGACAAAAGTCACATGGTATTAAGTCAGGACACCTGGTCGGCCATTTATACATAAAATAGGGAGTTACTTTTCAATCACCCTCTCTCTCTCTCTCTCTCTCTCTCTCTCTATATATATATATATATATATATATATATATATATATATGTGTGTGTGTGTGTGTGTGTGTGTGTGTGTGTGTGTGTGTGTGTGTCTATTTATATTATATATACAGGGTGATTGAAAAGTAACTCTCCATTTTAAAATACTTATAATCTATTTATTAACTATAATTTTTACTAGAAATGGATATGAAAGGAAAGCGTGAGATTTTATTTAAAATTTGATATGGCCACCAAATTTTGCTACCAGCTTCTTGAGCTTCCCAGGAATCGTGTCAACTGATTTCACTAGGAACTCTTGTGGTATGGAAGACATAACTTTTTGTATTCACCCTTCAAGTCCTTCCAAAGTCTTGGCTTGGTAGACTTGCTCCTTTAATCCAACCACCAAAGAAAAACGTCACAGAGTGTTAAGACAGGACTCCTGGCTGACCAACCATACATAGAATAGGGGGTTACACTACACTCACCCTGTAGTTAACCCTAAACTGGAGCTAAAACACTTTTAAATTATAAAAATACATTTTCATAGGAAAAACAATTAGCAGCAATATATTTTTGGACAAAAATATAGTCAGCAATAGATTTTTGTAAATAAATAAAAATATTACCAGTAATATATTTTTGTAAAAGAAATTATTAATTCTCCCAAGAAAATTAAATTTCGGCATTAAATGACCCATAAAGGAGTTGATATGCCGCTAAACAAACAAACAAATTAATGCACAACAGAAGTGAGATGGCCAAATTAAAATATCAGTAGACAATCAAGTTTGATTTTTTTTACAGTCCTTGTGCAATTATTTTATGTTAAAAATGATTAACAGCCATTGTTGCTTGTAACGAGTTTTCACTCCAAATGGCTTGAACAATGGCTCGACTGTGGAGAAACCTCTTAAGAAGTGTTTTCTAAAATGAAAGAAAAATAAACTTACCAGTGCTCTTCGTCATTTAAGATTTTGGCATCTATACAAATACTTTCAAGAAATTCTCTTTGTCGATTCGACTCGGTACATTTTCGCTTTCATTCTTTGCTTCTACACATTCACTGGTACAGTCTCCATTTTCTTCCTCTTGCTCGACAATCCTTTTCTGTTTTCTCTTTTCATCGTTACTTACTCTTCCTCGCTTTTTCTCTTCCCTTTCTACCGATTTCTTTGGTGGGAAAGACACCATCAGCCTCACTTTCTATCTATTTTTATCTACATTTCTCTTTTCGCTCGGTCTTTCTTTTCTTTCTCCCCATCTCATTCCATCTTTATTTTGTTTCTTTTTCTCTCTTCTCTTCCTACCGATTTCTTCTTTTTCTCTTTCCCACCATCTCCCTCTCTTTCTCTTCTTCTTTCCTTCTTTCTCTTTTTTCTCCCTCATCCTTTCTCCTCATTTCCCCGTGTTTTCTTTTTCTTTTTTTCTTTCTTTCACAGTGGAGGCTTGTATTTGTACTAAGTCGGTCCTAAAATAGGTTCGACGTACAAAACGTTAAGAACTTGATATAATAGGTAATGACGCAGTAATCTAATTGTGGTCGCTGATACTTTAATATCTGACTAACGGTCATCCGATATGGACTGACTGACCAACTCGATATTTAGTCACCCTCCCCCATGAGGGCATCATGTGGCACAAGGCCTGTTTAACGTGGAATCTCCGAACCCGTGGGCTCGGCCAAAAATATACCCTTTGAACCCGTATAAACGGGTTCAGGGTCGGCTTACCTCCCCGAAAGAGATTCCGCCCTTCGGCGTAGCCTCCTTCGGGTTCCTCCCCGCCCAAAGGCAGAGAGTTCAACCGATCATCCGGTCGACTGACTGACCGACTCCCTCACGTCTGCTACTACTACTCCTACTTATTATAGGTAGGAGAGTCTATTAACTATAGAATAGGTGTGTTCCAGTATAACACTTTCTTTTTTAGTGAATGTGTTCTCTCTCTTTATCTCTTTCCCTTTTTCTCTTTCTCTTTTCCGTTATTTTCTTTCTTTCCAGCCTATCACTCTCTCTTTCTCTCTCTTCCTTTTTCACTCTCCCCTTTCCATTCTTTCTCCCCATGTCGTCCATTATTTTACTTGATTTCTCTTTCACTTTTCTTCCTTTCCAATTTTTCTTTCTCTTTCTCTGCATCTCCCCTCTATCTCTCTCTCTCTCTTTCTTTCACATTTTCTCTCTTCGCTTCTTGACTGTTTCTCTATCTAATCTGTTATATTTTCTCTTTCCCTTTCCCATCATCCACTTCCTTTCCCCTCCCTCTCCCTCTATCTCTCTCTATCTCTATTTCCCTTTTCTCTCTCTCTCTCTCTCTCCCTCTCTCTCTCTCTCCCGTTTCTGTTTTTCTATATCTCATCCATTATTTTCTTCTTTAAGGGAAAAACCTATGACAAAGTGGAAATACTTTTCGTGTGATGCTTTTCGCCTTTTAGGATTTCATCGGACTAAAATGATGTTGATGTTAATGCGACTACGCATGCGCACGAAGGTTTGGTTTGGTTTGGTTTACGGCATATCAACCTCTATGGGTTATTTAATGTCAACTAGATTTTTACATTAAATTCGCATAAATAGAATATATATTCTAAAAAAACTGTGGATCCGGCTTCATTGATATACTTTTGAAAAGAGGGTTGTTGTCGAGAGTCTGTTTTCATTGCTGTATTCTTTTCATATTCACGGTTTGTAAAGAAATTTATTTTGACATCCTCATTTGGTTTATTTGGGTGGGTCCGACTGTTTTAATAAATGATATTATATCATCCATTTTTACTTTCTCGAAAAGCTCATACATATTCTTTATACTATAAGATATTTATCTTGAGAGCAAGATCTAAGCACTTGGCTAATATAAGTTTAATATTATATACCGTTTTTAAAGGTTTGCCATATTGGTTGATATTCTTTGTTTAGTAAGTACGAATGTTTTATTCTTGTATGGCCAATGCAAACGCAGGTCGTTACCAATTCTTCCTTACGAGATTTTCTGGGAGCTGACTTCCATTCTCCTAGTATGGACTGAATTGCAAAGAGTTCAGTGTGTGGGTTATCGTCCCAGTACTATTGCCATTCTTTTTTAATGTATTTATTAATAACCTCCTTAAAATCTGTTTATGGCATTTTGGTCCTTGTATCCACATTCACATCTAAAGCCAAATTGTCTGCTAGATCGGCTTCATTATTACGTTTAACACCGATGAAGCTAGAAATCCATCAGAGTTTGACGTCTTTATTCTTGTTAATAGTTTTCATTTTGCATAATATTTTCATAAGTGGAATGTTGTTTTTTTTTCCTTCAAAACCAATAGGACGAATAGTGAGTCCGAAAAAATTAGAAAATAGCTAATATTGAGAGCTAGCTCTATTACATAAGACTCTGCAGTGAAAATAAAGCTTCCCTTTGAGAGGCGCCTTTTTTTCCGCACGAAAGATGTAGGGACGCTAAGAATTTTAAATTTAAATGATTTTTGTTTTTTAGTATATGAGCTGGGATTATATAATCTAACCTATTTAATTAATATTCGTTTTCTTTTGTTTATGCTTCCATAAATTTATTCAATATCGGACATTGTGATAATTGAAGATCTGCCAAGAATGTTAAAACATTGTAAGAACCTGGACGCTAATCTACTATGGATGATCTGGGTTCGGGTCAAAATTCCAACGTATATCACCTGAAGAATGCCGGGGCGTACAACGGCCGAAACGTCATGAATATGGCAATAAAGATAAGGACAACAGTCCGAACAATGTAAACAGTGTAAATAGTTACAATACATCATCACAGAGATATTGACAGATCCTGAAGAAGGACGGAGCGTACAACGGATGAAACGTCGTGAATATGACAATAAAGATGAGGAAAACATTCCGAACAATGTAAATAGTATGAATAGCTACAATACCTCATTTTTCAGAAATATAGGCATATCCTGAAAAAGCCCGGAACGTACAACGGCCGAAACGTCGTGAATATGACAATAAAGATGAGGACAACAGTCCCAACAGTTTAAACAGGGTAAAGAGTCTGCCATTGTTATAACGAAGTCGATGATAACTGGTGCTTCTAATGCAAAAGAGTGACCTCTAAAATAATATTTTAAAAAAAGAATGACAAACCAAACTTATACCAATTCATTTGGTGTATCACGTAGTCAGATCTCGTCAAATAAAATTGAATTTTCATCATCCAGAATTCTAAAATTCTGTACTTTCAATAATGCAGTATAATTTTAATTCATCAGCTAGCCAATAGTGTGTCTGATTTCAAATCCTGATAACTCTCGCTCGTAGCGGACTTGTCTTTGATGTGAACACCAGGTTCATCTCTTTCTTTTTATGTTCTTGAAAATATACTCGTACAAACACACACGATCACTCACACACAAACGTAAATATATGTATGTAGGTAGGCATGTATGTACTGCCAATTTAAAGCCCACGTTTTATAAGTACGTGTTTGTTTGCAGGGAGACAATTGAGAATTCGGTTGTGAGCAAGAGGAAATGAAACAGATAGAGACAGAGAGAGAGAAAGAAAGAGGAGAGTAAGAAAAAAAAAGAAGCTGTCTATATTCCTTACGATTAATTAGGATGTAAGTGCGAACATACCGTTTCATTAGAGCTGACCCATCCGACATTCTCAAAGGTTTCTGACATCATCGTTTGCGATGCTACTGCGATCAAATCGCCAACGATGAGATAGATTCTATTCAAGCGAAATTAAAATTCCAAACCACCGAACTTTGAAGAGGCCTGGATGTGGGGTGGGGTGTCGCAAAGAAAGAAAGAAAGAAAGAAAGAAAGAAAGAAAGAAAGAAAGAATACATAAATGCAATTAAGCTGAAATAAGAAAGAATGAAAGAAAATAGATAAATAAAATTAAATTTACAGAAAGAAAGAAAGAAAGAAAGAAAGAAAGAAAAAAAGAAAGAAAGAAAGAAAGAAAGAAAATAAAAATAAGTGTAAACAATGCTAACAAACACGGAAAGAAAGAAAGAAAGAATACATAAATGCAATTAAGCTGAAATAAGAAAGAATGAAAGAAAATAGATAAATAAAATTAAATTTACAGAAAGAAAGAAAGAAAGAAAGAAAGAAAGGAAGAAAGAAAGAAAGAAAGAAAGAAAATAAAAGCATGTGGAAACAATGCTAACAAACACGGAAAGAAAGAAAGAAAGAAAGAAAGAAAGAAAGAAAGAAAGAAAGAAAGAAGGAAAGAGGGAAAGAAAGAAAAAAAGAGAGAGAGAAAGAAAGAAAGAAAGAATACATAAATGCAATTAAGCTGAAATAAGAAAGAATGAAAGAAAATAGATAAATAAAATTAAATTTACAGAAAGAAAGAAAGAAAGAAAGAAAGAAAGGAAGGAAGAAAGAAAGAAAGAAAGAAAGAAGGAAAGAAAATAAAAGCATGTGGAAACAATGCTAACAAACACGGAAAGAAAGAAAGAAAGAAAGAAAGAAAGAAAGAAAGAAAGAAAGAAAGAAAGAAAGAAAATAAAAATAAGTGTAAACAATGCTAACAAACACGGAAAGAAAGAAAGAAAGAAAGAAAATAAAAATAAGTGTAAACAATGCTAACAAACACGGAAAGAAAGAAAGAAAGAAAGAAGAGACAGAACAGATTAGATGCGGTTAGATTAAAAGAAAGAAAAAGAAAGAAAGAACAAATAGAAAGAAAGAATATATAAATTAAGTTAAATGAAAGAAAGAAAAAAGACATACGGAAAGAGAATATGTATAAATATAATTGAATTAAATGAAAGAAAGAATATAAAAATAAGTGGAAAACAGTACCAACAAACATGGAAGGAAGTCTGCAATTGTTAAAAGAAAGAAAAGTAAAATAAATAAATGCAACGTAATAAAACGAAGAGAAACAGTGACAAATGCCAAGTGAATAGATATGAAAGTCGAGTGAATAGAGAAAAGTAAAAGAATGATTGGTGGTTGGTGGATGAAGGGATGTCACATGAGAGTAAAAGCGACATCAATCAGCAAAAAGCAAGAAGAGATATTCAACGGGCAGACGATAGATTCAACTGAGCAAATTGGGATCCTCATTAACGTTTACTTCTCACAGGCTTCTGCTTATTTCTTTCGTTTCGCTTTTTTTTAATCTGTTAATGAAGAGGGCTGCTGTAGTTTAAGGCTGAGAATAGAACGATAAAATTAGTAGTTAATTTCTTCTTCTTCTTCTTCTTCTTCTTCTTCTTCTTCTTCTTCTTCTTCAGCTCCTTCTTCTTTCTTTTCTTCTTCTTCATTAATATTATCAACATATTTGTGTTCATTTTATTTATTCCTTCTCAATGTTTGCATCCTGCCGACATTTCTCTTCTCACCGCCACTGATTTTTACATTCGTTATCAAATTTGTAACCATTATCATTGCTACCCTCTCTGTCAAATGGCCTTTCTTTCACTACACATCAACAATTCTTCTTCTTCCCTTTTTTCTTCTTCTTCTTCTTCTTCTTCTTCTTCTTCTTCTTCATTCTTTCTTCTTCTTCTCTCCTTCTTCTTCTACTTATTCTTTCCTTCTTCTTCTTCTTATTCTTCTTTCCTTCTTCTTCTTCTCACCTTTTTCTTCTTCTTCTCTCCTCCTTCTCCTTCTTCTTCTTCTTCTCTCCCTCTTTTTTTCTTCTTCTTCTTCTTCTTCTTCTTCTCTCCTTCTTCTTCTTCTTCTCTCCTTCTTCTCTCCTTCTCCTTCTTCTTCTTGTTCTTTTTCTCTCCTTCTTCTTCTTCTATTATTATTATCATTATTATTAGTTTCCTTCCTTTTCTTTCTTGCTATTTTTGTTTTTCTATTATTGTTCCTTTTCTCTCCCTCTTCTTTCTACTTTTATTATTATTATTATTATTATTATTATTATTATTATTATCTTCCATTTCTCTTCTTCTTTTTTGTTTCCACAGTCGAACTGGAATGTCCATTTTCTCTCCTTTCCCAATATCATTAAAATACTGACCACCATCATTATTTTTCTTTTTTCTCTTTCTTTTATTGGAACCATTTTATTCTACGACAGTCTTTTACATTTGTCTTTTACTTTTGTTATCTAATATTTCATTATTTCTTTCGTTTCGTCCTCAATTTTCGTCTTCTTTAAATTCTGTTGTCATCTATAAATATTTTATTACTTGTTTTTTTTTTTTTGTTTTTTTTTTTCAAATTCTTCATCTTTCCCTCTCATCTAAAGCCGCTTTTCGGCCAAACTCTTTCCATTAATTTTGCTGTTGTCCTCCTCTCCCCGCCTCCGCCTCAAGAGTAGCAACATCATCAGCAGCAGCAGCATCATCTCTCTTCTTCTATCTCTCCCCCCATCTCCTAATCCCCCGTCTATTTTCTACGTCTTCTGCATTACACATCTCCTATTTGCTTCTCTTTTTCCTCCCCATTCTTCGCCTCCGTTCTTCTACTTCTTCATCTCTTCCTCTTCCTCCTCTTTACTCCATTTCTTTTCTTGCTCTTACTCCTTCTTTTATCCTTCTTTTCTTTCTCCTCTTCATTCCTCACCTCTGCTCTTCAACTTTTCCTCGTTTTCCCCCTCATTCCTCATCTATTTCCTCCTAAAAATTTTTCATATCTTGTCTAATATTCTCCATCACTTTATCTTACTACTACAACTCGTTCCTAACCTTCTTCTTCTTCTTCTTCTTTTTCTTCTTCAGCAGCTCCTCCTTCTTCCTCATATGTGTCAGTCTATTTCTTTTCCTTCTACTTCTACTCACTCCTCATCTACCTTCCTACGCCTCCCCTTCCCTATTCCACATATCTTTTTCTACTTCTCTTGCCTTTTCTCCACCTCCTCTATATTCTTTTACACTTACTCCGCATTCCTCTTCTATCTCAGCACCACCATATTCTTATACTTTTTTATTTTTCTTCTTTCTTATTTCAATGTAAATATGAATTTTATATATTATATATATATATATATATATATATATATATATATATATATATATATATATATATATATATATATATATATATATATATATATATAAGAATGGAAAAACTAAATAAAAATGAACATGTTTAACATGTTTAAAAGAAAGGTTGCTGCCCAAATATAAATACATATATATATATATATATATATATATATATATATATATATATATATATATATATGTTTCAGTATTCATTTTGTCTAAAACGATTATCTTCATGTTTTTTTTTCTCTTGTTCCATATATTTACGTTTTTTGAACTACAATTCAAAAACAGATGAGTGTATCTACGTAAATATATATATATATATTTATATTTATATATATAGATAGAGAGAGAGAGAGAGAGAGAGGGAGAGAGAGAGAGAAAGAGATTGAGACAGATATTAACAGGCTAAATATCTAAAAGTTTATTTCGATACATTAATATCATTATTTATATTTTTATTCATATATATATATATATGAATTTATTTATTGGGATCCCCGTTTACTCTAATGTTTGTTGATGCCTGTTTAACAACAAATAAATTGAAATATATTCAAAACTCTGAAGTTCATGCGCATATAACTACAGTTAAAAATACAATCGCATGCAATATATATATATATATATATATATATATATATATATATATATATATATATATATATATATATTATTATTATATATTATTGTTGTAGACCTACATGCCGGTTGTGGTATCTGAACCGAAAAGCTAATTGCTGAATATATGAATTTTGCATTTAAACTCTTAATATGACCTGATATAAGCTTTAAGCTATATATTTTTCTGTTAAACTTTTGAAAAAATTCAAGTTTGCTATGATTTTAATTATAATTGAAATTATTGAAAAATAAAAGTTAAATATGCATCCGCCTGAAGTTTTAAATCATTTATAACTTTTAAATTTAAATCATTTAAACTCAGTCGATGTTAAAGATCCGCGTTAATGAGAAATCTATACCTTTCTTCCCAAATAATTAGTGTAAATTTACATTAATTGTATCATTTTGAATCTAAGCACTGTACTATACTGGTGTCGAAATCTCATCAATTTGCAGTTGAGCTGGCTAGCTGTAACCGTAAGTTCTATGCTAAGAGTTTCTTTTCTCGCACTTCCCGCTTGTGGGTCTCCCTTTCGGCTCCATGCTTTCCAGCCAACTTTAATCTGCAAAAATTTTAATGCAATGTCAATCGCTATCTACTGTCCTCCTGATTGCTCTTCATTTTTTCTCGCTTATTAATAATTTTTCTGTTACCAATTCCTCCACACCCTGTAACCCCTTGTGTCTTAGTGGCTTTACTGATTTCCTTGGGGTGATACCAATTTAAAAAATAAATTAATTGAATTATCGGTTTGTTTTATTTTTTAGCTTGTTAGTAATTTATTTAAATTGAAAGACATTTTGGAATACAAGAATAATTCGTTTTTTTACTAGTGAATATTGCATTACTTATTTTTAATAACAATGATTTTTCGAGGTACAAGGTTTACTATTTAATCCATAGCTAGAGGGAGCAGATGAATATTTGTAGGTAAATAAATGTAATTACCCCGACTGGAATTCGAACTTGGTTCTTCCAATTTCTCATTACGAACAGCAATCCATTTCACCACCCGCACATCCACCACAAAAAGAAAAAATATAATACAGCGGATGTTTCATAATAAGTGTTACGGCTTCAGTCTTCTGCTTTTATGCGCTGTGCCTCTTCCGGATGTAGGTGATCATTGTTCTCCACAACTTCCTATTTTATGTAGCTCTGATTAATGTTTTTTTGTTTTACTATTCCTCCCAATTCATTTAGTTAGGCTACACGATATTACCCTCAAACCATTATATTTTCAATATGTCCTGTAAGTGTCAAATTCTCCAAACCCTCTTTTCTCATTGACTCCCTTTCATTTTAGCTGGGTTTTTCCTGGTCCTAAACACAAGAACCCTTTCCTTTTTCGTTTTCCTTAAAACAAGCATCAATCAGTCAGTTATGTGCTATGCATAATACACGCTTGGGCGATCATGTATCTTTCGATGCATGACTGACGAGGTAAATTCTTTTTTCCGTAGTAGGTTACCATTTCTTTCTGCAGTAGACCAATTGCCATCCAAGGCTATAGAACCCGGGCTGAAATGCTATTTATCCATAGCTGGTGGCGGGAGAAGAGGATTCATACCTTTCCCAAGGGTATTAGCACGTAAGTGAATGTAATGGATTCGTCTGGAAAATCGTCAGTCAGTTATGTGCCATGCGTGATACACGCTTAGGCGATCGTGTATCTTTCGATACATGACTGACGAGGCAGATTTTTCCCGCAGTAGGTTACCATTTCTTTCTGCGGTAGACCAGTTTCCATCAAAAGCTATAGAACCCGGTCTGTCCTGCTGGGTGGGCGGGGAGAAAAAGAAGAACCCTGTCTGTCCACAACTGAGGGGAGAAGAAGAGGATTCATACCTTTCCCAAGGTTATTAGTACGTAAGTAAATGCATTCGACTAGAATTCGAACTCGGCTCTCCACAGCTTCCTCTCTTTAATTATCTTTGAAATACCATATGTTCTTGGAGAATATAGTGGAGTAGTTTCCCGTTACCTTCTCCACTATTTGAAATACTGAAAAAGAACCCAGTTTACCCTGCCATTTAACCTATAGCTAGGATAGGAGTTAGAACAGAAAGGGGTCTATATGTTTCCCAAGGACCCAAAGATTGAAGAAGTGAACGCAACAGATGAGGCCGAAATTTGAACTCCGTCCGCCGATTCTATTTTCAGCGTCGATAAGCGTTAATGTTACAACGTTCCAAATATGGAAAAAATTATATAGAATGCCATAGATACTTCTTTAAAAACGGTCAAAACGTTTAAATATAAATTAAATTATTTAAATATTTCTTATAGTACTAAGCATTGAATTATTAAAATATTACCTTCTCATTAAGTTTATCTATTTATTACTATGAATAGTGGTCCAATGACTCTGAGAGCGATGCTGTCGGGAGTTCAAAACTCCTGATAGGGCCTCATTTGGCACCAA